ATCCATTCCCCTACCCTTTGATCTGGGGGTGTACATGCTCATTTTCTTGGCTAAACCTAAAATTTAATGCCAACTGTGAAACGTACACACACCAAGCACAAATTTCAAGAAGACGTGTTTTGAGTTTTGACTCTTTACATACGTGTTTGTACTGTACAAGTTACGAGCGTATGTTTAGGAAAAGATAAAATTGTTTTGGTGTCAACCAAATAATACCATTGAAGGCGTTTTGATTTAATTTCTTGATAAAAACAAAACCATATTATTTTGTCTTTTGTTTCAAATTCTATTACTTTTTTAACATTATTTTGTGTAATATGTAAAAGGTGTTCTGATTTTTATTTCATAACAAAACTAAACAAAATGAGATTGTGTCTATTTTTTTTAAGAAATTTACAAAAAATAAGTATATATATATATATATATATATATATATATATATATATATTAATATTATGAGTGTGTCTGTACATGAAAACCCAGTTAATAAAGAGCAAATATATATGTCTAGTGTCTTATAATATTTTAAAGTGCAATAGCATTAAAGGCAAATAAATCAAGGTCATAAATAATTCTCCAAACCATAAGATATCTTCAATTTATGGTCATGGAAAGTGATGTATTAAATTTTCATAAACATAGAATTAGTTAACCATAATTTCTATGTAGATATATGTATTTTCAATTATTTAAGAACAAATTAAAGATGCAATATTTGAACGGTTGAAATATGATTGAACAATTTGTGTCACTTTCATAAACTTGTAAAAAGCCTAAAAAACTATTGCATATATATTATTAAAATAAAATAAAAAAAAACGTTGTTACATAATTCAATTGTTAAAAATGTCAAACATTAGTGCAAAAAATAAATATCTAATCGGTGCCATGTCATTAGCTAGTTCTCGATTACAATGTCAAATGTAATAATTATAGAATAAAATATAATTGAATATTCTTTTAGAAATGTATTATGTTGCGTAAACTGATTTAAGGAATAACTATGTTTAAGTTAATGCATTTTTAACCATTTATATAATACAGATATTATGTTTTAAAAGTTTGTTTTTTAATAATTAATGTAACACTAACGGTTTTCCTTTGACCAATTCTTAAAAATTAAATATTGATGAGTTGTCGGAAAGCATACGTATATTATATAATAACCACAACCATACGCTATGGTGACTGTAGAGTGTAGAGATGCATTTACTGTATTTGCCATTTGGTTGCTTTCAGCCTGCATTCCATTAATATACGCTGGTGGGGTCTACAGTCAACCCCTACACTTCCAGCAACATGACCTCCCACAAAGGGAGCACACTCTTTAAGTCTCTATCCATTTAGGGTTAGGGTTTTATCAACTTACTTCTCTCACTATTTGATTCTATACCAATATTTTTTGAATCGTCACTTCATGGGCTCCATTCTTGTGCTTTTATTGATATTGTATGTATTACCTGTCCTACTTCTTGTACATTGTGTATTATTACTTGTACATAATGTGTTGGAAGAGATGGGTTTTCTTTAATTATGGATCTAAGGTACATAAATTTTGTTATGTAGGCACAACAAGATAGAGCGGATAATGCGATTCTTAGAAATGATAATGACAATTTAAGAAATGAGAACTGTCGTCTACAAAATGCATTACGTGCCCTTGTTTGCTCTAATTGTGGGGGTTCAACGATATCTTTTGATGAACAGCAACTTCGAATGGAAAATGCTCGGCTCAAAGAAGAGGTATGATCTAATCAGCTTCAGTGCTTTGAAATCCCTGTTAATTACCATTTAATCATCGAATTAAACATCTAAAAGATATTCTTCGTTCTTTTTTACCATTAAGTACTGTTTGGAAGAATGACACTACACTCGAGTCTCGACTACTCGAGGACATGGAAAGAAAAATAGACGAGGGCAAATTTGTAAAATGGTGGGACTTAACTAGGAAAACCTTCTTTAATTTCGTACTTTTTTTTAATTAAGTTGTTTTTCTGTATTAAGTTAATAGATACTCGTATGGGGTTACTGGATTAAGTCTTCTCTTCATTAAGACCATTAAGTAAAAGAGAAACAGCAATCAAGTGTGATTAATTACTTCGATGTTTCTTGATCACTTGTTTTTGTAAATCAGGTTTTCTCAGTTTGAAGTAATCTATTTATTCTGTATAATTGTATCAGAACAACAATTAAACTAGTAATTTTGAAAAATAACCATCTCAAATGCACCAGTAAAATTCTATAACATATTATTTTATATATCTATTTAATGAGCATTATGTTTTAATCTTGGCAATAAAGAGCTAGAAGGTGATTCGATTGTCTACCACCTATTAAAGCTAGCTGTTTATAACAACACTGATTAATCTTAATCCACTGAGAATAAGATTTAAAGTTAAGATTGTTGTAATTGAGTATGAAATTACTCTTTTCTTGCAGTTGGATCGTGTATGCCTTATTGCGACTCAATTCTGTGGGAGTGATCCAATGCAAGGACAAGGACATGGTCCTTTATCTTCATTGATGACCTCTAATCTCGACTTGGATATGAATATGTATCCCAGAGCATATGATCAAGAGGGATTGCAAAATTGCAGTGAAATGCTACAGATGAATCCGTTAATGGCATCTGAAGGTCCCAATTTTGCTGCTGCTAATGGGTTAATCATAATGGACGACGAAAAACCTCTTGCAATCCAATTTGCATTATCGTTTATGGATGAAGTGGTTAAGATGTGCAGACTTGGAGAATCACTTTGGACCAAAGTTAATGATTCTGGCAAAGAAGTACTTAATCTTGATCAACATGCCAAGATGTTTCCATGTTTTATTAGCCAGAAAGGTGATCCGAATGAGTTCAGATTTGAAGCTACTCGCGCTAGCTCGGTTGTGATAATTAACAGTGTCACCCTGGTTGATGCTTTTCTTGATGCGGTATATATCGTTTGTTAATTGTATTAAACGCTCGTTTATTTATTTATTTATTTTTTTATCGATTGAAAATAGATATTATGTTTATTTTTAATCATTCTTTCTTTCGGGTAATGTAGGATAAATGGATGGAGTTGTTCCCCTCAATCATCTCCCGTGCAAAAACGCTTCAAGTGGTCACTTCTGGTGTTAACGGAAATGCAAACGGTTCCTTGCAACTGGTGCGTACGTGTGTGTATATGTATATATATCGTTTATACGCACTTTTTTTTCTATGAAAATGAAGTTTGGATGAATTACATAATTTGTTATGAACAGATGTATGCGGAGCTGCAAATGCTATCACCACTTGTGCCAACAAGGGAAATTCATTTTCTTCGTTATTGTGCACAAAATAGCGATGATGGAAGTTGGGCAATCGTTGATTTCCCACTAGACAGCTTTCACGAGACTTATCAAGCTTCCCTTACTAGATACAAACGTCGCCCTTCGGGTTGCATCATCCAAGACATGCCTAATGGTTATTCAAGTGTGAGAAATCCATATATATTATATAATGCATGCATTTCTTGATGTTAAAAATATCAATCTTGTTATATACTATACTTGAACGAACTCTTTTTTTATTGATTCAGGTTACATGGATTGAGCATGCTGAGGCCGAGGATGAACCTGTTCATGGGATCTTCACTGATTATGTTAGCAGTGGTATGGCATTTGGAGCACGAAGATGGCTGGCTGTTTTACAACGCCAATGTGAGAGGCTCGCAAGCCTTATGGCCCGAAATATATCTGATATTGGAGGTAAAAATAATAATATATTATATAATGGAAGTTATTATTTAATGGTGTATGACTATGATTGTATGTTTATAGCGATATCATCCCCGGAAGCAAGAAAGAATTTGATGAATTTGGCTCAGAGGATGGTAAGGATGTTTTGTCTTAACATCACTGGCTCGTGTGGGCAATCTTGGACAGCACTTTCGGATTCAGTGGAGGACACAGTCAGAATAACAACTAGGAAAGTCACTGAACCTGGTCAGCCCAATGGCTTGATCCTGACTGCGGTTTCAACAACTTGGCTTCCTCATCCTCACTATCAAGTCTTTGATCTTTTGAGGGATGAACGCCGGAGATCTCAGGTTCATAAATTTATATACATCAAGTTTTTGAGATTAACACGCTTCAGTTTGTGTTCTAATATGTTGGTTTATATGCACAGCTTGATGTGCTTTCAAATGGGATTCCGTTACAAGAGGTGGCTCACATTGCAAATGGCTCTCATCCTGGCAACTCTATCTCTCTCCTTCGTCTCAATGTAAGTTTATGATTATTCGAACCCAAAAAGTACTCAAGTTATTATTGTACTTTTCTGTAATAAATTAAAGAATGACGTGGTATGTTTTGGGAACAGGTGGCTAGCAACTCATCACAGAATGTTGAGCTGGTGCTTCAGGAGAGCTGCACTGATGATTCTGGTAGTCTTGTGGTATACTCAGTTGTTGACGTGGATGCAATCCAGCATACTATGAGTGGTGAAGATCCATCGTGCATCCCACTTCTCCCTCTAGGATTTGTGATTGTTCCAGCAGGACAAAACCCTAATGACAACATCACCTCCACCACTACCGCCACCACCACCACCGGGAACTCAACTGAATCCGGAGGAGGCTGCCTATTGACTGTCGGACTACAAGTGCTGGCCAACGCCATACCCACAGCAAAACTCAGTCTCTCGAGCGCCAACACAGTAAACAACCACATACAAAGTACAGTGCAACAGATCATCGCCGCCCTTGGTGGGGTTGCCGCCGGGAACGGTAACAGCACTGGTGGAGGCAACAGTGGCAGTTCTGACGATGGAGATAATGTTGGTGGTTTTGACGAGCCACCAACAAGACCAATCAAGAAAGTCGATCTCAGCCCAACTTCAAAGGTTAATTAAACTATTAGTTAACCAAAGAAGTAGACTGTTATGGTTTTCTTTTATTTATTTTTGAGTAAAAAAACATGCATGAGTGTGGTTTGTGTATTGAAGTAGGGTAGGTTAATTAAAAAGGGTAAAAATGTCTTTTAAGTTACATGACATTATGGTGGTTCTGAAGAGAGTCAGAGTGTAATGAAGAGAGGTGGTTGGTAGGTAGAAAGGGTCTGCAAAATCAATCAATGGAAGGTGGTGGGGGAAGAAGGTGCATGGTAACGAGGGTAGTCAAGAGCGCACCAGATAAGTTCCTTGGGTGACCTTTTTAGGGTTTCGGGACTAAGCAGTCAACAGCAAGGATAATGGTTCGGGAATTGACTTTCTTTGTTTTTTCTTGTGGTTTGTAACCCCCTTTGAAACCATTTTGGAAATTTGTCAATTTCCATTGATCAGAATATTGTTATGGACTTTATAATATATAAAATATTTCAAATTTTCAAATCTTTCGGTTAAAATTATATATTCGTAAAAACTCGAAAAATAAAATGAAATAGTAGATTAAATAAACTTTATATCATCATTCTACAAATCTTATTTAATGTTTTTTTTTTTTGGTTATTAGAAACATTGATAACAACTCCTTAAAATTAATATAATAAATCAAATTTATAGATTTTTTTATAATTGTTTAAGAACATTTTTAATGGTAAATTTTTAAAACTTTTTATTATTTGAAAAAGTCCTTAAAATGTTTCTCTACTATTGGAGATTAGAACTTGACCACTCCAAACCCCAATATTTTAATTCTCTTATTTTTAGTTTTTTTGTCCCTTGCATTTAATAACAACTAGAATTTTACCCGCCGCGCGTTGCGGCGGCAATAATGTATTTAAGAAGTAACAGAAAGTAAGTTGCTACATGTTGACCAGGAACTTAGGAAGATTTAAATTGACAAAGTATAATAGTTTGGGGCGAAAGTCATGTCAAACAAAGATAATCAAAACCATATTATATGTGACACACATATAAAAATAAATGACTAAGTTTTTTTTTTTTAAATTAAAAAACGGAAATTCAAATAGTTAAAAACGTATTATATGTATCCCGACTTAGACGTAAGAAACGTACATAAACATAAGCACGAAAAGGTAAAAAAAAAGTTACGTTGAGACGTAGACAGATTCAAATTAATACCGACATGTACATAAAAAATATTTGTTTTAAATCAACGAACTAAAATTATAAATTTACGCTGAAACAATTTACGTCGAAACGTTGGTCACCTCTAATTTATATCCACACATACAAAAGGTTACAAAATTAGAGGGGTGATAATTGTAGGAAAATTAGATTATATACATATTATCGGGGATAAAATAAAAGTTTAGAAAATAGAATTGGTGAAATTGATATTTTCCAACGTTTGAATACATCCATGAATATGATAAAAAAATAATGGGTTGAAAATGTCATTCTATAAAGTATAAGAAAGGTAGTAATATAAACATAACATGGGGCTTAAATTTCGAAAAGTAAAAAAGAAAGAATGTTAAAGGATTGAAAATAGAAAGTAAAAAAAGTGGAAGGGAACGGAAAGAAAAAAGTAAGGCCGCCGACATTGGTTTTTAGAAGATATATAATTTCATTGAAACCATATTTATATGTTTGTCCCTTGCATTTAGTAACAATCTGATTGAAACCATATTCATATTTAGATATATTTTTCTGATTAATTAATCTATTTAATTGAATTTGTAATGTAAAAATGAATCATATTATTATACTTATAAATGAGTCATTTTTTTCTGTCATCTAATGTATTTGAAACTATCATTCTTTTCATGTTCTTTATAATTAATAATTACTCTAATGTTAGATACATGCAAAACCTCTTGAACTTATGCAACTTATATTTGTAATCTTTTCAACTTACAAGATATGTGATTCTTTATAAGTTCATAGTACGGTTTTTTTTTAATTATTTATTTATTTATTTATTTATTTTACTTTTCAAGTCTTAATTTACACGCATGAAAACTATTTTTGAAATAATGCATAAACACGGTCCATAATCACCATCTTCGTTAGTCCCAGTGTTCATGTCTACTCCTTGTTCTTCTTATAGCTACTATTTTCCTGCTACACAAGTGTATGCTACATAATTCTGTTTACAAGTTTAGTTCTTTCATCACAACTAACTTTACCCTAAATCAAATGATTGTTTGATCAGGAGGTATAGTTAATTATGGATCCATGGTAGTGAAAGTGTGAAACGTTTTACTTGCTGTTGGAACATTGTTTGCTTTGTCAAAGCTACAAGTGATATGTTTTTATAGGGTTTCATCAATTGTTAGTTTGTTATTATGTTTTTTATATTTAACTCCTTATAACATGACAATATGGGAGCATTTTGACTGAAAAAACAAACCAGAACGGGATGGTACAAAATAGGCTTAAACGGATCGGTTATCGATTCTAAATATCCTTCAATTTCGTTATTGGTTTTAGTCTTACCAAATATCGTGTATACCGGTTTCAAGAATCGGAACCGGAAATTCAAAAGTTAGCAAGCTTACAAAACTCTATTACTGAAGACTTATAAAACTATTGTACAATGAATTGTTTCTTATATTTAACATAGACATTGGTAAGTTAACAAGCTTACAAAACATAACTTGACCAATATTTTGGATTTTAGTTGTGTTATATATTTTGAAAGAAATTCTCTAAGATTTTGTTGGCAACATGTATTTGTTATTTTATAACCATTTCTTTTTCGAGTGACATTTTGATGTTCCAAATACAGATATGCATGCATGTATTTAACTACATTTGTATTTACATTGATGTAATCTAAAAGATGATATAATCATATAATTAGTTGGAGCATCGAGTAAATAGGTTCTTCATTCCGTAGATGTATCATTTTCTATTTTATCCCAAGGATGATAATATGATCATCGATAACCAATAAAGTAGTATAATTTACTTCCTCTACATTTGAAGTCATTCGTTTTAAGGAAAAATAGATATTGAGTATTAACTAATAACTATAAGTTAAGAAACGAAAGAAGAAACTCATGATTCTTAAGGTCGATTTTGATTAAGCATATGATTCTGTTTGTTGGGATTATTTGGATAGAATCTTATTATTCATGGGTTTTGGAGAGAGGTGGAGATCTTGGGTTCGGCCTATGTTCTCTAATGCTAGATCTTCGGTTTTGTTAAATGGGAGCCTTACAGAAGAGTTCCAGCTGTTCAGGGGTTTGCGTCAGGGAAATCCTCTATCCTCTTTTCTTTTTATCATAGCCATGGAAGGTCTTCATATTACTATGGAAGATGTTGTAGCGCAAGGAGTGTTCCGTGGCGTTCCTTTGAACTCTAATGACATATTCCTTTCTCATATTTTTTATGCAGATTATGCGTTGTTTTTAGGAGAGTGGGATCAAGAAAATGTGTGGAACCTTATTCGTATTTTGAGGTGCTTTTACTTGATCTCAGGTTTAAGAATTAATCTTCTTAAATCTAATTTATATGGGGTTGGAGTTAGTGGTGACGAGGTCGCTACTTTGTCTTATTTTATCGGATGCCACCCGGGTTCGTTTCCTTTTTCTTATCTTGGGATTCTGGTTGGTGAATCTATGGTTTGAGTCAAGGGATGGCAGTCGATAGTGGATCGCTTTAAGAAGAGGTTGTTGTCTTGGAAAAAGAAGCTTCTTTCTATTGGAGGGAGATTGACCCTAACCAAGTCTGTTTTGGGAAGTCTGGGTATCTATTTCTTCTCTATTTTTCGTGTTCCTGCTACTATATGTCACATTCTTGAGACTCTTATGTCACGTTTTTTTGGGGGTTTTGAAGATGGTCACTACCGCCTTCACTGGATTAGTTGGGATGTCATTCTCAACTCTTGTTCTAATGGTGGCCTAGATGTCGGCAGCTTGTATTTGTTTAACTTGGGCCTTTTATTTAAGTGGAAGTGGAGATTCTTTTCTAATCCTAATTCTCGTTGGGTTCATCTGATTAAACTCATTTATGGGGATAGTGGTGGTTTCTTGGATACTTCTCGCCCGATAATTGGAGGGGGTGTTTGGCAAAAAAATTGTAAGGTCTATTAATCAGTTACATGATACTGGTATTATTCCTGAAAACTGTATGCATAGAATTATTGGTAATGGTAATCAGACCAACCTCTATACGGATGTTTGGTATGCGGGTCTCCACTTAAAAGTGCATTTCCATAAATTGTTTGTGTTATCTACCTTTCAAAATGCCCTGGTTAGTGATTTGTACTCTTCGTCTGGTTGGAACTTCTCGTGGAGGCGTTCTATTAGAGTTGGTGTTGAGTCTCAACAGTTAAACAGTTTACTGGCTTTACTCTCGGACATTCAACACCACTCGATCCCAAATAATGGGAGTGGGACCTAGATCCAACGGGTCTGTTTTCAGTGAGGTCGACTAGAAGAAGAATTGATGATGAGAGACTCCCATCGGGTTTACGCCCTACGAGGTGGAATCATTTTCTCCCTAAAAAAATTAATATATTTTTTGGCGTGTTCTTCTTAACCGAATTCCGATTAAGGTTAGGTTGGTGGAAATGGGAGTTAATTTAGATTTCATTCTTTGTCCCATTTGTCTTAATGATCAAGAGGATGTCAATCATATTTTTCTTCATTGTGTGGTTGCCAAACAGTTATGGATACACATTGCTTTTTATGGGTTGACTTGGTTATTCCTTCATTTTCGTCGGTTTAGGAAATGATGGGGTGGGTGGATGCAAGGCTGGTTGCTAGAATGGAACGAACGATCATTGACTCCATTTTCCTGGTCAATATTTGGGTGCTATGGACATATCAGAATGGTCTAATTTTCTCCTCTCCTAAGCCTAAAAAAGAATTTTTGTTTGATTCTGTTGTTGAATCTTCGTTTCGTTGGTTTTCTTTTCGTAACTCTAAGGCTAGGATCAACTGGGCTGCGTGGTTACAAAACTCAATCCTGCCTTAATTTGTGTTTGTTGCTAGCTTTTTGCTAGTTTGTATTGTTTTGTGTTTAATATATTCGGCTGCCGTTCAAAAACAACTAATAACTATAATTTACTTCTTCTACATTTGAAGTCATTTGTTTTAAGAAAAATGGGTATAGAGTATTGACTAATAACGCATTGCAATTTACTTCCTCTATATTCAGATTTTATATAAATAATCCCTGTAATTTGAAAACAAGTATCTAATAGCCCCCTTTACACATTTTTTTGTACCAAAAAACTCCCATTTTTGGTTATTTTCGGTTATTTCCGATTCCGAATGATCATAGATTTTTCGGTCTTAACCGCTTCCAAACTCAATATAACACGTTCCGTACTGAAAACTGAACCGAAAATCTTCATTTTTGGTTCTTGGTTATTTCGGTTTCGGTTCGATCCGATTCTGTGACCAAACACACTCGAGATTTTGAAGAGTGTTCTAGGTCCAATACCCAGAACCACAACCGGTACCAACGATTTCGAAAACAATTTTTAATTATTAAACATGTAACATGTTCCGGGACCAGTTCTAACATTATAGGAACCACCGGTTCTAATTTCACTAAGCTTATATATGCAAAATGAGCAAAAACAACATATATAAAATTGTAAATTCTAACAAATTTTAAGCATATTGTTGTTTTAATGCGCAACGTGCGGTGATACGTCTAGTATATTTTTAAGAGGATTATATTATTAAAAATATTACTTTTTTAAACTTTCAAGATGACATAAATAAAAAATGTTAAAAACATCTCGTCATATAACATTTTATAATTTTTTTATTTATTTAAATATTAATGTTAATTTTATATTTATAAACAAAGCTATAATATGAGGATTTTTTCATAACATTTAAGATAAATAAAAATAAATTATTTTTTTAAACAAATTGAAAATATTGCCAAGTTTTTTTAAGGGATACTAATTTGAGAGGGTACGGTACTTTTGCCTTTGGTCATATTTGGTCACTGAACTTTATTTCGTGTTTTATTAACCCTTTAACTTGTTGAATTATATTAATGTTCCCCTTATGACCAGTTTAGCCGGTTTCAAAGGATTTATCGATCCTACGTGTACTTTTTATCTTACGTGGCGAATGAGGTGGCATGTAGGCCCCGATTTGTCGTCCCCCTCTCGTTAAACTTTAGCCTGAAGTCTCATTTGGTCCTTAAACTCGATTAGGGCACAAAATTCGTCATCGATCATTCGTCTTCTTCAATCGTTCTGTAGAATGGCATCATCACCAAATCCCACTTATCAGAACTTCATTGTAGTAGATTTTCGCTACAAGGGAACGTTTGCACCCAAGCCCTTAGTCTACTTTGATCCCGACAGAGCATCAATGCGAGATATTGACTTCAGTGCATTTGGGTATGAGCAGTTCATGGAATTCCTTCACAAGCTCACCAGAACGACAAGCAAAGACATCTATTTCTGCCTTCCACAAGAGTCTTTAGGTCAGGGAATTCATACACTGGTAAACGAGGGTGATTACAAGGAATTTTTGGATTTGGCGTATGCTAATGACAAGAGAATGAATGTATATGTGGATCACCAGAATGAACCTATCTTCGACTGGATTGAGGCTGAGGAAAGTGAAAATGAAAGTAAAGACCTAGATGAAGATGAGGATTCAGTTATTGAAGATTCATATACTGTTGATTATGAAGAAGATGATGCTACCTATATATTTCCAACAAACAAAATTGCACATGACAGATTTTTAAACATCCTCTGTGAACCTACAGAGAGTAAAGATCAAGATGATGAATACGTGCCACCCTAGTACACTGTGTATGATGAGAGACAGCCATGGGATCAGATGAAACCAACACTAAAAACTAAATGACATTTAGTGGCACGGAAAAAGTGCCACTAAAAACCAATGCAGTTGCTAATAGGTATGATCTATGCTTTGAAATGATAGGTATGCGATTTTCTAACCCTACTGAGCTTAAACATATGTTAAGCAACAATGCAGTTGCTAATGGGTATGATCTATGGTTTGAAAAAATGACTCTGATAGACTGTTAGTGAAATGTTGCAAAAAGAATAAGTCACCATCTTGCCCCTTCAAACTATGGGCCTCCTGGATGGGTAAAGAAAATACTTTTCAGGTAAAATCTCTACTGAGTGAACATAATTGTTGTAGGGTGTTTAAGTTTGGGTTAATAGTAACTTACAGATGGATAGGCAAACATTTTATGAGTCAAATTATAGAGAACCCAAAAATGAGTGCAAGGAAGATGAAAGCTAAAGTGTCAACAACATTCAACATAATTGTGAGTGTGGGGCAATGCAGAAATGAAAAGAGATTTGCATTACAAGAGATTGAAGGAAGTCTGATTGAACATTATGGGAGATTATGGTCATATGGTGAGGAAATTATCAAGTCAAATCCTGGATCTACTGTGAGGTTGGATGTAGACATCATGCCAGATTCCATAACTTTGTTTTCCAAATTCTATGTGTGTTTCAATGCTGTAAGGTATGGTTGGTTGGAAGGGTGCAGGCCTATAATTGGGCTTGATGGTTGCTTTTTAAAGGGTATAGCTAGAGGAGAAGTTCTTTCAGCTGTTGGGAGAGATGCATGATGGGTTTTATGTACTCTAACATTCCTATGGTACACATACAACCCTAATTCTTTGGATCTAAGTTTTCTCTAATTATACATGCAACATTGTTTTTCCAAAGCATAAAGCCTAAACTAGCATGCAAGGTAACATTTAAATCATAAAACCAGTTAGAAAAAAATACATTGTGTAGTAGCTTGCTTGTCTTTTACCTTTAGGAGCCTAGCACCTTAAGTGTGATACCTCAAATGTCTTATAACAAACCAAGAACAAGAGAATGGACTTGAGAGAGAGGCTTGGGAGCTCAAAATCGGCTAGCAACAACTAATGTGTATGAGTGTAACCGATTTTAGGTGTTAGGGTCTTCTTTTATAGCTTAGAATTACAACCATGCAAACCTTAATGACTCTTCATATTACATAATCCTTTTGGTATAAACCTTTCATGGACTTCCATGTAAGTTTAGTCCAACCCTAGTCAATATGTGTCATGAGTCCAACTAGAAGAATTACTGATTTACCTAATCAGTCCCTTTAACTTTAATTAGTTTCTTTTGATCACTAAATTAATACCAAATTAATTCTTGATCAATACTAATTAAATAATGTGATTCCTCAATTAATATATTATACTTATAATATATTAATAAACCACAATAACCTCTTTCTCAAGTATCCATCCTATCAAATTGTTCCAAAGTGTTACAACCCAAATGGACCATGCTATCATAGGGTCAAGTACATACCAATTATAGTTATGGGCTAAGACACCTAATCCAACAGTCTCCCACTTGGATAAGTCTAATAACTATAATTGCAGTTGCAGCTTCAGAACCCAAGTAGCAATCGTAGCTCTCTAAAATCCAATGTCGAATCCTGACGCGCCATTTAGATAAGGGATCATATAATCCTCTGTTCTTCAAGATATCATGCGGACAAATACATGGAACATAGTCATATCTATTGCCCAACAGTTTGTTTCCCGATTTCTGATTCGTCTGATATAGAACTTAATTGAACACATTAATTTAGTCATGACCGGGCCCGACACATAAGTCAAAACAAAATCATTGAGGGGCTCAAGATATCGTTTTAATCCTCTTAGGATAAAAGGAACATATAAACTTCGACTTATATGCTTGCACTAACTATTAGTTAAATCATACACAACAACATGTTTTATAACATCGAGTTACTAATGCGTTTTCGCACTGTCAATGTACAACCAACTAATAATTGTCAACTCATATATCTTGGTTTGAAGATTATACGATATTATCATCTCACAATCACTTGTGATAAATTCCGTGAAGTGATTCATGTGAGTGTGGGTTGATCCAATAATCAAATCTTATTTCAAGAGTACTCATGAATGTTGTAGCAAACCTCTGTAATGTCTAACTCCTTAGACAATCTTACAAAACCCATTCATGACAGTCTACTTACATAACCTATTTCCAAAGTATGATCGACTGTGGATAGTTTGAATAATCTTATTATTCTGGAAGTCAAAACATGCAAAATGAAACAAAAAGTAAATAATTGACACAAGACAGTAACTTTACTTATAAATAAAACTCCTTTTATTCAATAATCAAATGTCAATTACATTTTAGCTATTACAAGTTTCTAAATATCTATCTAATCATTAAAACTAATATTGTCCTTCAGCCCAATACACCTTGCATGCAGCAAGTGCTTTTCCCTGCTGAGTTCTTTTGTAAGGGGATCTGATGGGTTCTTCTCTGACGATATCCTCTTCACTACGAGTAGTACTTCTTCTACTTGATGTCTTATAAAGTGATATTTGCTATCGATGTGCCTGGATCTGCCATGATCCCTTGGTTCCTCGGCTAAGGCAACTGCACTTTCATTGTCATAGAAGATATACATTGGCTCCTTTACAGGTGGTACAACTCCAAGGTCTCCAATGAAGTTCTTCAGCCATATTTCCTCCTTTGCTGCTTCACTTGCTGCTATGTACTCTGATTCGCACGTTGAATCAGCCACAGTTTCCTGTTTGGAACTTTTCCAAGTTATTGCTCCTCCATTAAGGGTAAATACCCAGCCCGACTGAGAGCGTAAATTATCTCTGTCGTTCTGAAAACTGGCGTCACTATACCCTGTTACTCTTAATTCATCACTCCCACCAAGGGTAAGGATCCAGTCCTTAGTCCTCCACAGGTACTTAAGAATGTTCTTTACTGCAGTCCAATGAGTTTTACCAGGGTTCCCTTGATATCTGCTGACCATACTCAAGCAAAGGCCACATCAGGGCGAGTACAAGTCATAACATACATGATCGAGCCTTACTGCGGAAGCATATGGTACTCGACTCATTTCTGCTATCTCAGCTTCTGTACTCAGACTCTAAGTCTTACTCAATTTGGTATTACTCTGGATTGGTAAGTCTCCTCTCTTGGAATTCTCCATGTTGAAACGTTTCAACACCTTATCTAAATAGGTACTTTGACTAAGTCCTATTAGTCTTTTACTCCTGTTTCTCAATATCCTTATCCCTAGAATATAAGCAGCTTCTTCGAGGTCCTTCATAGCGAAACACTTCCCAATCCAGGACTTAACCTCCTGCAAGGTCGGGATGTCATTTCCTATGAGCAGTATGCCATCCACATACAACACGAGAAAGCTAACTATACTCCCACTAGCTTTGACACATATGGATTTCTCAAGCTTACACACTCTATTAGGGTACTTTGCATTGACAAAACCCTCTGGCTGATTCATGTAAACATATTCATCCAACTTCCCATTAAGGAAAGCGGTTTTGACATCCATTTGCCATATTTCATAATCATGAAATGCAGCTATGGCTAGCATAATCCTTATAGATTTAATCTTAGCCACTGGTGAGAAGGTCTCATCATAATCAACTCCAGGAGTTTGAGTAAAGCCCTTCGCAACCAATCGTGCCTTATATGTATGTATGTTCCCATCCATGTTGGTCTTCTTCTTGAAGATCCATTTGCACCCGACTGTCTTACGGCCTGGTACATTTACAACCAAGTTCCAAACTTGATGATCATACATGGACTGAATCTCACTGTCCATTGCCTCTTTCCATTTTGCAAACTCGGGTCCTGTCATGGCTTCCTTATAGTTGTTAAGTTCATCCAAATTTACCAGTGTACTATTACTGATAAATGTATCACCTTCAGAAGTAATATGGAAACCATAAAACTCAGGTGTCTGTCGAACTCTACTGGAACGCCTCAGAGGTAAGGACTCGTCAATCGGTTCAACAAGATTTTCCTCCTCGGGTTGAGCGCTAGTGTTTGAGGTTCCTTCATCGCTTAACTCTTGAAGCTCTTCAAGGTTAATTTGCCTCCCACTTTCCTCTTGGCATATGAGTTCTCTCTCGCAAAAGACTCCTCTCCTCGCAACGAAGACAACATTGTCACTCGGTCTATAGAAGAGATATCCAAAGGATTTCTGTGGGTAGCCGATGAAAATACATTGCTCACTACGAGGTTCGAGCTTGTCGTGAGTTTTTTTCTCACGAAAGCCTCGCAACCCCAAACTTTGATGTGTGATAACGAGGGAACCTTCCCTGTCCACATATCGTGAGGTGTTTTGGAAACATTTTTAGTTGGGACTAGATTAAGGATATGGGCAGCAGTCTCTAAGGCATACCCCCATAATGAGATAGGTAACGAAGCTTGACTCATCATAGAACGAACCATGTCCAACAAGGTTCGATTGAGCCTCTCAGCCACACCATTAAGCTGTGGTGTCCTAGGTGGCGTCAAATGTGAAACAATTCCACATTCCTTAAGATAGTCGTGGAACTCGATAATAAGATACTCTCCTCCTCGATCGGATCAGAGCATCTTTATCTTCCTGCCCAACTGATTCTCCACTTCTTGTTTAAACTCTTTGAACTTTTCAAAGGTTTCTGACTTATGATTGATTAAGTAGACATACCCATATCTACTATAATCATCAGTAAAAGTCATATAGAAGCAGTTAGCATCCCTTGTGGGTGTTCTGAAGGGTCCACACACATCGGCGTGTATGAGATCTAACAGACCCTCACCCCTTGCACAAGTGCCAGTGAAGGGTGACTTGGTCATCTTTCCAAGCAAACAAGATTCACAAGTGTCATCCGACTTTAAGTCAAATGACTCTAAGACTCCATCCTTTTGGAGTTGGGCTATGCTCTTCTTGTTAACATGTCCAAGACGACAATGCCATGAGCATGCTTTATCCAAATCATTGGATGAATCAATATGCAACACATTATTTCCTAAGTTATCTACAACCATCACAGTTTCATATATGCCATTGCAAGGTAATGCTTCAAAATAAAATACACCATTAAAATAAGCATTTATTGAACCAATTTCATTATTAAAAGAAAAAGGTAAAACCTTGTTCATACAAACTGTGAAAAAGAAATAATATTTCTCGCCATATCAGACGAGTAGCAACAATTATTCAAATCTAATTTCAAACCATTACTAAGCAATAAAGAATAAACTCCAATCTTGGTGACATGCGACTTTCCCCTATTCCCCATGATTAAGTTCATCTTCCCGTGCTCCACATCCCTACTTCTTTTTAGACCCTACAAATCAGAACAAATGTGTAAGCACATCCTGTATCAAGGACCCAAGAATTAGCATGTGATGAGTTATTAGACAAAATAGTATAAATATCTGCGAAGGAGGGTTTGATCTTCCCATGCTTTATGTCCTACAAGTATTTGGGGTAGCTTCGCTTCCAGTGCCCTTTATCATGACAATAGAAGCACTCGACTTCCTTTAGATTGGAAGAGGGTGTGACAGAACCAACTTTGGTCCCACTAGAAGAGGATCCAACATGGGACTTTCCCTTGTGACTCTTGGAAGGAGTCTTCCTCTTCTTTCCCTTTCAATGTCCAATTACCAGGACAGGGGCAGTAGCAGTAGGAGTAGAACCAACTTTGATTAGAGTCACCTCCTCCTTGTTCATATGATAAGTCATACGAAAATGATCATAACAAGGAGGTAAAGAGTGTAGGATAATGTCAATTGCCAATTCTTCATCGAAGTTGACATTCAGCTTTAGCAAGCGGTCCACAAACCTTTGCATCTTTTTCAAGTGGGCCGTGATAGACTCTCCATCCTTCATTTTGGTAGTAATCATGGAGGCTATGATTTCATACCTCTCCTGCCGAGCACTTTGATGGTACCTTTCCATCAAATCCTAGTGCATTTCATACGGCCAGAAGTCCTCACAGGACTTTTGAAGCTCAGCAGTCATGGTATCAATCATAATACACGACACCTTTGTCGCGTCCCTCTCATGGGTCTTGAACTCAACAATCTGTTCGAGAGTAGTGGTAGATTCATCAATCTCCTTCAGCTCTTTATCTAGGACATATTCTTTGTCCTCATAGAGAATGGCCATTCTGATGTTTCGAATCCAATCATTGAAGTTCGATCCATCGAAGATGACCCTCCCACATAGGTTCATGAGGGAGAAAGAGCCAGAAGCAGTTGAGTTTGAACCAGTTTTGGAAGACATATGAAAAGAAAGACAAAGTTTTGATTAGATAAGGATCCTTAATATAACACCCAAAATGAGATATTAAGGCTAGGACCCAACACAATATTTTACAATTCGGAAGAGGGATGCCGTAATCCAATTGCAAAATATTTGAAGGTAGGTAAATGACGATTTACCAATTTTCACCATGAAAAACGAAATTGATTATTAAGTTTTAAACGAATTGTAATTCCTAGATTCTTTTGAGATTCATTGAACTGGTTTCAATGACATGTTTAAATCTCGATTATTCCCTTCAAGTTTGTGACTGTGATGTCGAGGATCACAAACAAGGTCTGAATAACCATGCAAATTAGCTTGGTACACTTAATGTTACAAATCACCTAATCAATGTGCCGGTTAACTACACACGCTCCATTGATCCATGATTAACATCAAGTTACCCTTTGCCACACATTGTCAGTCCCAAATTAGTGTGCTGGTTAACCACACACGCTCTACTAACGACTTAACAGGGTGCAAAGTGCAATTTCATGGAATAGCACCATTTTCACATTTTTCCTAAAGTAACTAAGATTGAGAATTTATAGAAGTTTAGTTACTTTAATAATTATCATTATACTTATTAATGAGAATTAATGTCCTATCCTACCCGTTCGGCTAACGACCCTCCACCAGTCAAGGAAGCGGTGGGTGAGAGTGCACCCATTAAACCACCATTTTATAGGCAGTAGCCTTATATCCCCTTATAGACCGGCTTCGTGAATGAGGCCTACTAACGGTAATACTGACTTGTCTTATACATATATATAAGTATTAAACTTTATTATTATAATAGTATAAGGGTTGAATTTTAAACTTTTAAAATTATAGGGTTTGGAATTAAAGTTTCATTAATGTAACTTTTCAAGTTTCAAAACTTGAGGGCAAGTTTTGTAACTTGTCAAGACTTTTGAAATTCATAACTTATGGAATTTTATGTTCCATGAATGAGACCTTTCCAATTCCAAACTTGAGGACAAGTTATGAAACCTTTCAAGACTCTTTGAATTCTATAACTTACATAAGTTAATGGTTTCATAAATAAAGACTTTTCATATTCCATAACTTGAGGACAAGTTATGGAACTTTTCAAGAACACATATGGATCAAATTAACTAGTCCAATTATGATATGATGATCATTTACCAATTTGACCTAATTTGATTCATATTCAAGATAGTTTCAAATTTTACAAATAACTGGTATTTCACAAAAATCAAGTAGTTATCTTAGAACTTGACAAAATTCATGTTTTTGGATGGGGATAAACATTACCAAATCATTAAAATCAAATTTTATGAACCAAAACAGTTTGTGGTAATGATCCTAATCCAAAACAGGCCAAAAACTCGAAAAATCTGCCACCAGATGAACCAACTCGTCGAGCCAGGCTTTGGACTCGTCGAGTTCATGGCAAAACTCATCCAACTCGTCGAGTCCATATATGGACTCGTCGAGCTCATCAGACAGTGACCAGAAAAATCATTTTTCCAACTTTGAAAAGCACACATTTGCATCAATATAATAGAAAACATCCTAGGCTCTGATACCACTGATAAGGTTTATGTACTCTAACATTCCTACGGTGCACATACAACCCTAATGCTTTGGATCTAAGTTTTCTCTAATTATACATGCAACATTGTTTTTCCAATGCATAAAGCCTAAACTAGCATGAAAGTTAACATTTAAATCATAAAACCAGTTAGAAGAGTACCTTGTGTAGTAGCTTGCTTGTCTTTGACCTTTAGGAGCCTAGAACCTCAAGTGTGAAGCCTCAAATGTCTTATAACAAACCAAGAACAAGAGAATGGACTTGAGAGAGAGGCTTGGGAGCTCAAAATCGGCTAGCAACAACTAGTGTGTATGAGTGTAACCGATTTTACGTGTTAGGGTCTTCTTTTATAGCTTAGGATTACAACCATGCAAACCCTAATGACTCTTCATATTACATAAGCCTTTTGGGCTAAACCTTTCATGGACTTCCATGTAAGTTTAGTCTAACCCTAGTCAATATGATTCATGAGTCCAACTAGAAGAATTACTGATTTACCTAATCAGTCCCTTTAACTTTAATTAGTTTCTTTTGATCACTAAATTAATACCAAATTAGTTCTTGATCAATACTAATTAAATAATGTGATTCCTCAATTAATATATTATACTTATAATATATTAATAAACCACAATAACCTCTTTCTCAAGTATCCATCCTATCAAATTGTTCCAGAGTGTTACAACCTAAATGGACCATGTTATCATCGGGTCAAGTACATACCAGTTATAGTTATGGGCTTAGACACATAATCCAACAATGCAAAAAACTACATTTACCCTATAGCATGGGCTGTGGTTTGTGTTGAGAATAAAGAAACATGGAAGTGGTTCATAGATTTGCTTATGGATGACAATAATGGTGGTCTTGGTGCAGACATAACCCTTCTTTCTGATGGACACAAGGTTAGTACTAGGTCCTTTTTATGCTTCATTTTTATGCTTTTTCACTCATAATGATGTTGTGATTTGTAGGGTTTATTACAAGAAGCTAAGGAAAGATGTCCAGAAGCTGAACATACACAATGTGCCAAACACACTGTGGCTAATTTTAGTAAAAGGTTTACTGGTCAAGAATACAAGAAGTTATTTTGGAGGTCTGTAAGGGCTAGTACTGTGGAGAAGTTTAGAGGTGTAATGGAGAAGATCAAATCTACTGATACTCATGCTTATGATTACCTTATAGACAGAGATCTTAGTACCTGGTCTAAGGCATCCTTTCAAGAGGGAGGAGATTGTGATGCAGTGGAGAATGGGGTCAGTGAGAGTTTCAATTATGCTATTAGGCATGCTAGAAGGAGACCTATCATCACTATGCTAGAGGAGATTAGGTTATTTGTGACGGAAAGGATATACACTTAAAGAGTTGAAGGAATGGAATGGAAATTGGATATATGTCCAATTATTAGGAAGCATATAGAAGAGTTGAAGGTTAAACAGAGGTAAGTTTTTTAGTTTAATATGCATATGTTAATTATGGAGATGTGTTATTGATTTGTAGTTTTTTTTTTCTTGCCTTAAACAGATTGTGGGGAGTTACTCCTTGTGGTTATCGAAAGTATGAGGTTAGATTCACTGATTTTGCATATGGAGTGGATCTAATTGCAAAGAAGTGTGCCTGTAGAATATGACAACTTATATGGATACCATGCTTACATGGAGTGGCTGCAATCTCTTACCTAAATCAGGATGCAGAGACATATGTGTCCCAATCCTACACTACAGAGGCTTACCTAAGATGCTACAAATATAACATTAATCCTCTCAATCGAGTGATATGTGGCCAAATGTTCCCTACCATAAGCCTTTGCCTCCTAAAAGAAGAAGATTACCTGGTAGGCCATCAGTGAAAAAGAAGAGGGATGCAATTGAAAGAGAGATGAGTGGACCAAGTAGACAAACTGTCACACGAAGGGGAACACTGATAAGGTGTGGTATTTGTAAGGAACCAGGTCACAACAAGAAAAAATGTCCATCTAACCAGTAAAACAATACATCAGGTAAATATTTTACATCATTTGAATAAAGAATTAACAGTTTAATTTTTCTTTGTAGTACCAAGTTCATCTAGGGGCAGTGGAACAGGCCCAAGTTCATCCAGAGGCAGTAAAGGACCATCACCTGTAGCCCAACCACCTCCTCCGCCACCACCTGTAGCCCAACCACCTCCACCACCACCACCTGCAGCCCAACCACCTCCTCCACCACCACGTGCAACCCAACCACCTCCTCCACCACCACTTGCAGTTCCTATGCCAAGAAGAAGGGCCTCAGTTGGTAGAAGTAGAAGGAGGCAATATTCTGAACGAATCAGCAAACAAGCATTAAGGAGGAAGAAACCTGGTGTTGGGAGTAATGGAGAGAACCCTTCAATTATTGATTAATTTAGTGGGTAGGTAGTGGGTGGGTGGGAATATCTTTTGTGATGCAGTTGTGATGTAAAGACAAAGTAGTAGTCTTTTTATTATGCTTTTCTATGGTACTATCAACTGGGTGTGTGGGCACATGGTGGCCTTTCTTTTGTGTATGCATGAATCTTTTGTGTCACCTAGAAACTACTTTTGTGTATGCAGACAAGAACTTATTTAATTTCGAACAGTAATGGAGTATTTCAATGAAGCTGTAACGACCCGAATTTTACAAAGAAATTTTTTCATTTTTAATTAGTCAACCATTTTTCATAAAACATAAAGGTTCCAATAATTGTTTTCAAAACCACCAACATTACAACATTATTATTTTCAAAACATCAGAGTGTCCCCCAAACCAGATCGGAAAAGAGAGATAGAGTGCACGCCGCATCATCACGCCTTGCCTTTACCCTTGGGCTCCGATGGACCTGAAACAAATCCACAAACGATAAGCTAAAAGCTTAGTGAGGCCCCCAGAGCATACCCCACACAAACCACATATCACATTAGCTATAAAGCTACCTCTACCACTAATCACATGTCAATTAGCCAAGAAGCTATCTCTACCGTTAGCCACAAAGGCTATCTCTACCATCAGCCATAAAGGCTGTCTCTACCAATAGCCACAAGGCCATCTCTACCATTATCCATAAAGCTATCTCTACTGTTAGATACGAAGGCTATCTCTACCACATATCATGCACACATACATATCACACCTCTACATAACAAGTAAACCAACTATCACAAAATGGGTCGGCCTTGGTGCCTTAGACCCATTGGTATGGTGAGAAGACTCACCTCACAAAGCTGAGTCGGCAACTGAATTCAAGTATACCCTATGCTGCTCTTCCCAACTGCCTATAATCAATGAGTAAATAACTCAACATAATCCCATAAATACCCCTGCAACATCCCAAAATTCAAGGCCAAAAATTTCGTTTTGATTAAGTTATAATATAGAACCATCAGTAATAAAACATTCATATTAATATCTCATGTGAAAACCAAAGTGTCAATAATCAAAGCATTTTATCATAAAACCATATCAGAGTGTAATCCCAAAGATCTCATGTGCGGAAAACATAGTGTGATGCGCTGCGATCAAGCCGGCTCCTTTCCTTTGAAAAGAAGTACCTGAAACCAAAACTGTAAACCGTAAGCACAAAGCTTAGTGAGCTCCCCCATCATACCACATACCATACTACTAACATACTGTCAGGCATATCTGGGTGCCCGACCTACCTCTTCGGTATCTTTCAACCGGTAACCGCCTAGCATATCTGGGTGTTGGCCTCCTCTTCAGTATCTTTCAACCGGTAACCGAGAGCTAACCTCCCCTTCGGTATCTTTCAACCGGTAACCGCCTAGCATATCTGGGTGCTGGCCTCCCCTTCGGTATCTTTCAACCGGTAACCGTGAGCTAACCTCCCCTTCGGTATCTTTCAACCGGTATTCGGGGACCATTTCACCCCCTACCACTACCACATAATAACATAACATAACATACATGAATATATTGTCAGGCATATCTGGGTGCCTGACCTACCCCTTCGGTATCTTTCAACCGGTATCCGGGGACTATTTCACCCCCTACTACTACCACATAATAACATATCATGATCATACTGCTAGGCATGCATGGGTACTATCTACCCCTTCGGTATCTTTCAACCGGTAACTAGGGGCTATATCACCCCTACCACTACTAACACATATGTCATAGCATCCTAGCACATAAAGCATATCAGATAACAACACACCAGATAATTATCACAAAGACAATCATCTAACAGTAATTCCTACTAATGGGCCGGCATCGTGGCCGTAGACCCACTCCTACTGGAAGGTAACTCACCTCACACTGCTGAAGTCCCGTAGACACAATCCCACATTGCTGAAGTTCCGAAGACTCAACCCCAGCTGCTGGATGACAGATTCTCGAACTGTCAACACCAAAATAACACCCAATTAATAATTGGGTTCCACTACATAACCATGAGTACATACTTTGGATAACTGCTACATTACCCCAAGCTTGGATTTATGCAAGCCCCAAGGCCCAATCCATAGGCCCAAAGTCAACTAGGAAATCAAAGCCCAACATATGGCCCAATTTGGAAAATTAGGCCCAAACCTTTACAAGGTCTTACCATAAGGCCCAACCATTTAGTCTGGTCCAAACAATTGGCATTCAATTGCCCAATGTCTCATAATCATCAAGGCCCAAATAATGGCCCATCTATGGCCCAGTTTTCCAAATCGGGCCCAAACCCCTCACATGGGCCTTACCCCAAAGCCCATTAATTATTCTAGTCCATTTGCTTGATCTTGGAGGGTCCATCAATAACTCAATCATTAGGGCCCAATAGAAAAGCCCAACAATAAACCCAAGTGAAATTAGGGTTTCTCATAAAATGATGATTAGGTTTAAGTTTCCTACTTAACCCATTAAGTACTTAATCCATTAAGTCCCACATGGCTTTAGGTTAATTGCAATTGGTTATTAATTAATATTTTAATTTAATAAACGATTCTAATGCGGGTCCCGATTGATCCAAAGCCCATATATCCAAAATTAGGGTTTTCTAAACCCTAATTAGGGTTTCCAACCCATTCATAGCCCAATAGGTCCAAAACCAAGTCCTTAAGCCCATTAGGGTTTTCCTTAGGTCAATTAGGGTCCGTTAGACCCATTAGGGTTTTCACTAGGCCCATCAGTCTCATGTTTGGGCTTTAAAGTCAATTAGGGCTTTATTGGGCCCATTAGGGCTTACAAGGCCTATTAGGGTTTTAGTCCCTTGTCCAAACATCCCAAACGAATCACAACATCAACGAGGCACACCGCCACCCGACACGGCGGCCGGTAGCGGCAGGAGGCGGCAACCACCACCCTATGGTGGTGGTATGATTTTTCCTTTCATTACTCTAATTTTTACAATTTACAATGAAATCACAAATAAACACACACACACACACTACACTAATTAAACACACACAACCACCTTAAGGTGGTCGGCAGCGGCAAATGGTGGCAGCCACCACAGTGAGGTGGTGGTGGTGGCTATTCTCGAGAATTCCGGCCAAAACCACAGCCAAAAACCACATACACACGTTCTTCTGTTGCGAGATAAACCCAACCACCCACCTGGTGGCGATGGTGACACAAAGTCCGGCAGCAGCGGCGGTCGACGGCAGCAGCTCCAATATCGGCGACAACCACCGTTCCACGGTGGCATGTGGCGGCCGAGAGCGTCAGCCTCCAAACGACAATGGTGAGGCAGCCAACGGGAGGAAAAGGAAGAGAGAAGAAGGTGGTTCGAACCCACCGAGTACAGCAGCAGCGGCGACGAAGAAACGCCCACTTGAGTCCCTGTCGGCGGCTTCGTCATCAACAGCTATGGCAACAAGCTCATCGACACCCATGGGAGGAGGTGATGGGGAAGACAGGAGGGCAGTCCGCTAGCAACCGGCGACAGCAACGCATGTATTTCACTTTCTCGACATTAGGGTGGACGCGAAGGGGGCTGATCTGGTGGTTAACGATATCGACGGAGGGGGGAACAGCCGCTGGAGATGAGGGAGGTATAAGGTGGTAGAGGGTTGGTGGCTGCAATGGGTTTCTAGGGTTAGGGTTTCATAACCTTTATATACCGGCTCCTTATACGAGTTTACCATGATGACCAAAATGGTCCCTCCAGCTCCCATTTATCTCGAAATAGATCCTATATTTACCATATAAACCCTCAACATTAAATCCTTTACAATTCAGGTCCGGATTTTACTAAAACAGCCCATCCTCTACAAATTCTTTACAAAACTAATCCAGAATTTACAAAACCGCCCCTTGCTTGACAAATTCTTTTCAATTAAGCTCCAGAATTTACCCTTCAGCCCTCAACTTCTAAATTTATGACAATTAGCCCCTCGAGACCATCCTTTGATATATAATTATTTATTTTAGGGCTACTATTCGTTCATTATTTCATTTATTTATTTAATAAATAAACGGGTGTTACAACTCTCCCCCACGTAAATTAGATTTCGTCCTCGAAATCATTTCTTACCACTTCTTATGCACCAAACCACTCAAGTAATATGGTCACCATTATGGGCACACCCTAGCCTTCTCAGGGTAGCCGTGACCAATCTTCGTAAGCCCTAAAATCCGTAGGTGAACGAATTCCTCGCAACCAGATCACATGTACTCCGTCTGAAATCTGTTGTCTAGAGATGGTCTGAATCCCTAGCAGACCACTCATATTGAATCATTATCGTTGAGTTCAGTCTGTTTATCCCTCAACAGGCTACTCAACTTCTGATAGCTCGAGGTTCCCACTATAAAATAGGATCACAGACCTAATTACCCAGCTGGTCACTCAACATAACCCAAGCAATATATTATTTCGTCCGTACTTACAACCCAAAACACAAATACTAATACTGCCCAAACACTGTCACCGCCCGAACACTGAACTGCCTGAAGCAGTATATTGCCACATGGCTGCTTCCAAACATCTACCGAGACCTACCTGGTCTCAATTTGTTCGCCAATCATCTGAATATCGGGTTTCGGCCCGGCTGCGGGGCCAAAGAACTCCCACTTAGTCGCTTCACACGACTTTCGAACGAAATACTTCTCTGGAACTAGTTGCCACTAGTTATCATGTCACTGTGGCTCTAACAACTTCCTGATTTAAGCAATTGGGTCCATGTGTCGATTCCTGTCATTATCAAGTCCAAGACTAAAAGTGATGGCTACCTAACCGATGGTAGCCTTATATCACAAGCAATCTTATACGGTCCATTGCTTCCCTGATCCCATAATTGTAGTGGCACTCCTACAGTCCTATCACTGTCTCAACCTGATCTAATCCTTCTGGGTAATTCCGAAATCCAATCCGTGGATTTCCATATCCTCAATGTTGCACCCGAGCTGGTGGGTACTACAGTCCCTTTCACGATCTATGAAT